GGGGAAAGTGACCTCCAGGCTCCCCCCTAGCTCTGCTCTGTTTTTTTTTTGTTTTGGTTTGTTTTTTGTTTTTGCCATTGCTACGAGTTTTGGGGCGGCAAGGAGAAAGATCTCATCGCCAAGCGTCTCTTTCCATAAAAAAAAAAAAAAGCGGTTAACTTGAGCTGAATTCGGAATACGAGGGCGCGATCCCGGAGCGGGCTACGAGCAAGGCTGCAGAGAAGTTTGTGGGAAATCCTCCCTCGCAGCCTGGAGCCTCTGAGGATGGTTTCCGTGGATTGTGCTAGCCGATCCCCACCAGCTTTATCATTTTCGTTTACGAGCCTCTACTCCCTCCTTCCTCTCCCCGTTCTTAATCCCTTCCCACCAGGATCTCATCCTTCATATACCTCGGTATGGAGGTTTTGTTAAAAGATGATGCCATTATCACGGACGGTCTGACTCAGCCTGCAGCAACGCAGACTGGAATACACACACAAACAAACAAACACACATGCACGCACACGCACGCCCACACAAACACACACACACACACACACAAACAAACACACGCACACACACACACAGTTATTTGCCAAGGAGTAAACATAGAGACTTAAGGGCCCGAGTGGAAAAAACTTAAACTCGAAAAAAGTTTTGGCATCAGTTTAGATGAGAATGGTATACGGGTTCCTACACTGCTTTTATTTTACCTCCCCTAGTAAGTCGGAGTATCACAGCGAGTAACCCGTTTTACGTCGATAACTCTGTGGCATAGCGAAGCTCTGCGATGAGCCCCCGTCCTTCTCCCTCCCCGGCGTGGATGGGAGGTTGGATTCGCAGGGAATGCAGGGTCCGGCTCTCTGCTTTCTGTCTAGTGTTTCCCACAGATCTGTCAAGTCCGATTTGGAAGGAGACTCCCTCATTTGGGATTAATTTCCAAGCAGATTGGAAAGTGTATCGCTCCGATTTTTTTTTCTGCATGTTCCAGACCGAGATTTAAAACCTATTAAGTCTCTCTCACTCTGTTAGTCACAGCCAGGATGTCATAACTATTCTTAAAACTTTTCAGACTGATTTATTCCTTCGAGTTTACAGCTTTCTGTGCTGATATACGGCTGAGGGGATACGAGGGCGACGGCGTTCAAAAGGGTAATACGCCGATTTCGGTTTTATCGCTGCTGAAAGGTGCACCGTATAGAGAAAGCAAACGAAACGCACGCCCTTCCCGAGACTAGGAAATAATAGAGGGGCATTAAAATATTGTTAGAGCGATATACTCATAAATCAAACGTTTCCCTTGAAAGTGCTTAATTTCTAGAAGGAAAAGGACATCACACACTTTGTACCCGTAGGATATTGATTTTTCTTCGCCGGACAGCAGGGAGTCAATAACTTTTGACCGATACTGTCTAGTTTTGACTGTGAACCCATGATGCACATCCAGTCTATCTGAAACGTAAGTTTCGCCGTTTTGAAAAAGGGAAGAAAATTTTAACATATCATGCAACGATTTAGTGCCGAAACAAGTGATATGCGGTGCAAATGGGTGACAAAACCAGAAAGCCTATTTTTAAATTTTTAATGGGCAGTGTTAACAATAATGGCGTAATTATCACTGTTTTATTAAGGCTATTTTTTACGACATGGTTAGAGGTGGAAGCTTGGAGAAAAGAGAATAATGGGCGCATTATTCTAGGATGTAAAGACAAGCTGATACAATGACAGCAAATAACACATAAGTGGCGTTAAGGAGAGAGAGAACAGACCTATGAGTGGGAAGTGTCTAGGAGAACATGTAAGGGTATTTATAGGATTCGATCCAGGACACATCTCAGCCTCTGTGCAGCTCTAAATATCGGATTCCAACTTCTCTATGGAGGGCATCTGCCTGTCCCTTATTTTTTTACCTGTTGGCTGCCAGAAGCAGCTCTTCCCTGTCATTGTAGGAGGCTCTGGAGATTTTTGGCTTGTTAGATCCAAATCTGAAATAGATGGGCCCGATCCCGCTCTTAGGATATTCAGTGCGGGTTTGGCCGTGGAAACTGTATCTGCTACTTTGCAAATTGCAGTGAGTAAACCGTGCAGGAATTTGGGTTTTAGAATTTAATTGCCATAGTTTCCAGAGTCATCGAGAGCCATAAAACTGCGGCATCCTTTTATGTTAAAATGAGTAGTAAAAACACGACCTGCGTGATAAGCTCACTGATTTGAAGGTAGGAGGGTATTTACGGTTTGAACTTAATTCGGTGTAAAGGACAGGTAAATGGAAAATTGACAGCATTTCAGAGGCTTCTGCGACGGGGCTTTTTTCCTTTATATTTCATTTAACGAGAACTCACGTTCACAGCCCTTCGTGCTGCGCATCTCCGTGAAACCCGCCTGTGATTTCTTGCATCGTCTGTGCACTGGTGCGCCTGAGCATCTCGGACAGGAACAAGCAGAAACGCAGGATCTTCAGAGGTGCAATCCTCTGTCTTTAGGTGCCTAAACTTGCCCGAAAGAAGATCCTGTCAGAGGGACAGAATACCACCAAGAGATATCTGCGGGAATACCACTGGCAAAAACAGCCTTTCACAGCGCTTAGTATTTTGCTTCAGAGGCGCAACGGCGCCTGGTATTTTGCCTGTGTTTGCCTCCTGTCTCTAAACCTGCCTCTTGTATTCCCTTTGCATTTCTACCCTCCTCTCCTCCTCCTCCCGCGGAAGGGACCATCGGTTTCACCGCCTGGAATTAACCTAGAGGGAAAACAGACAAACAAACAAAACAAAAACCCACCCTCCCCAACACGTGTCATGGCTCCGTCTGATGAAACTCCGTGTCACGCTTTACGGAAACAAACCGGCAGCGCAGGGGAAGCCGCGACGAGCGGGACCCCGGCCGCGTTTCC